AAAGTAGCATGAGTTTCGTGACATAGCATAACACAATGAACACTAAATAAAACATAATTGCAAAAGGAAATACACAGAGGTCACAAGTACAAGCAACCAAGCTCTCTGCACCAATTGAAATATCGTCCACCTTACCCAAACAAGTAAGGCAAATGGGGTTGTAGCCCAATAAATAATAGCATAGCCTTAAAACTTAAACTGTCTTGCTCTTTCATATGAGAGTGTTTAAATGTATGGAATCGTGAATAACATCGTATATAAGTGTGTAACTTTGCATTCTATCATGTATGGTATTATTATCGTTATGCAAAAAATTTTGTATTTGTAGTTAAATTTAAATGAACCATGTCTCCTACAGATACACAAGGCGGATATACTTTCTGCAAACATTAGGATGCTATTAAGGATTCATTAACTTGTAAAATTACAACATCGGGTTAATCATCAGCTATCATTTTTATAATTATGGTAAATAATTACATTTTGATCGCAAACGCACAGTGTCGCCACCAACACCAAAATTAATTTGACCCACTATCTCTTTGACAAAGAAATGAATTTGACCAATTAACTGCAACATGTTTTGCATAAATCAAAATCGTGAGATCTATCCGAATGGAAGAATGGTCAAAATTAACTGTACTTTTGTTCAGAATGTAAGCATAAAATAGCTTAAAAATAAAAGTATAGTTCGATTTTACCTCAAATTACTAAAAGGAAATCACTCCAGTCCAAAATTATCCATAAAATCAAAATTTTTAACAAATTGTTTGATAAGAATCACAAGTTAACACATCAAATGCTGATGATAAAAGGAAGTGACCACAACGCACTTACACGTGAACTCGTGCTGACCCCGCAAGATCATTGACCAATAAGAAAGATGTAATCCAATCATGCACTGGTCATAAGTGAAATTTCTCTGCACGTGAAAACATGTTATCTAATTTCAACAATTTATCGTTTGGTTAAGTAGGACACTCTGACCCTTTGACCAGACTAGAGACATCATAAATTTACAGTATAAATAGCTCACTCTTTATTTAAGTCTTAGTAATAAACAATTTAAACAGAATTATCATCTCTGCTGTCTTAAATTATTTTATTCAGCTTAATTTTCAATTAGCAAATAAAATTGGTTATAGTTCTCTGATCAGTTATATATATAGCCAGGTTGAACCTGTGATTCCTTGGTGATATAATTTCCAAAAAAGATGTATGTGATCTACGACATCGAAGGCTTTTTCTGCATCTAGGGTGATTAAAATGAGCCTTTCATTCTTATCATTTGCGTCATTGATGGCTTTGGTAATTAAAAGAGCAATATTTATTGAGGAAGCAACTTTTGTGAAACCTTTTTGCAGTTTATTTTGTTGTTTGTTTAAAGTGCCTTCAATCCTAGCTATATATATATCTCTCAAACAGAGTTCTAAAACTTTACAAATGATGGAGATGGCTGTTATTCCTCTATAATTTGATGGTATTGTTGGGTCCTTGTCTTTTTTATGGACTGGAGTTAGAAGTCCCTTTTTATAGCATCAGGCACATGTTTTGTTTAGAAGATGCTATTAATGAGAGTTGTCAAATAGTCAATTAAAGCTAAACCTCCGTATATAAGATGTTCAGATGTTAAACCGTCTACATCTCCAGATTTCTGTTTTTTTAGTTGTGAAACCAGTTTTGATATCTCATTGGAGGTAACTGGTTGAATGGTTATTTCTTCATTTTCATATAATTTTACTATTGTTTCTGCATCTAAGTTGACCAAGTTGTCATGTTCTTCATTGAACAGATGATTCACCTTTAGTTTTTGCTAAGTTTTCAAAATGTTCCTTAAATAGACCATTCATATCATCTGGGGTGGATGCTTCCTTGTCCGCCGTTTAAAGAGTGTGAGTGAATTGTCAGGAAGAGGATCTTTGAGCTTTTATTAATTTAAAGAAAAGATCTTTGTCCCTGTCAGATGCTCTCATAATTTCTTCATGGAGTTGATTTTTTTTTTGTCAGCACTTTGTTGTCTTTGTATTGATCTTACTGTACGTTTGGAATCAAGCCTATGCATGTTATATATATTATCTTTAAAAGGAGGTGATCCTGCTTTTTTCAAGAGGTAGAAGGCCTTTTTTGATGTACTGACCGCATTAGCCAACTTTGGTGACCAACTTATCTTTTTCTTCCTACTAAACTTTGATTTCCTCCGAGGATAGCATGTTTACAGTGCATTGTTCAAACCAGTAAGTAATTGGTTTGTAGCTTGATCAATTCCATAAGGTGTTCTCATGTTTTGATATTTTCTATCTTTTAGTTCTTCCTGCACTTTTAGTGCATAGTTATCTTTATTTACTTTTTCCCAGATGATTTCGGCACAGGTATTTTCTCTGTACTGTTTCTGGTTAGTTCTTAGTTCTATACAAAGATCAGCAGACACAGGACAATGGTCGGAGGTGTTGTGACCTACACTAAAAGAGGGACGAAAGATACCAGAGGGACAGTCAAACTCCTAGATCGAAAACAAACTGACAACGCCATGGCCAAAAATAAAAAGACAAACAGACAAATAATAGTACAGATGACACAACATAGAATCTTGACCTGAATAAGTTCCCTTAGTCTTTTATCATTCTCAATAGATTTGACCAATATGTAGTCAATTTGTGATCTAGATTCTCCTTGGAAATATGTGTGATCAGTTGGGTATTTGACTGGAAGTTCTATTTGATTTTCTTTGCAAAACTGTTTAAACAGTTCATCTTGGGAGTCCTTTTACTGTATAATAATAACAATTGAGTGGGTTTCTTGGTACTTAAGGATAATCTTTTTAAGAGTGTCTAAGGATGCTCTATAAGTATCATGTCCTTTATCCGTACCTCTAGAAGGAAGATATACATTAATAAGGCAGGTAGGATTTCCGACTGTTGATATTTCAATAGCTTGTATTCAGAATATGTTGTTTCCGTCTGGAAGTTGAGAAAACATTGAAGACATAGACTTTCTGTATAAGGTTGCAATACCACCGTATCCTCTTGGTCTACCAATTGGGGAAATTGGTTCATCATCATCAATATGTCTAGAAAATGTAATAAAGCCTGAATGAAGTTGCTTCAATAGTTCTTTTTCGTAGTTAAAGAGCTAGTGTTCTTGTAAGAGAATGATGTCATGTTTATCGAGCAGTTCATTGAGGTAATTTTTGTTAGAGTTGAAGCCTTTAATGTTGAAAGAGAGAATACGTAGTGGACTTGCTTTTCCCAAGGTTACATCATTCTTTTCACAGGGGGCGCTATATCTGGATCTAGAAGAATGGTTTTTCCTTTGTCTAAAAACGAGTTTCAATTTTTTAGCGCACTGTGAGTATGGTGATTTGACTTTGGTTGAGCTTTATTGGGACAATTGTCTGATTGATTTGTCTCCTTCATATGTTTAACAGCAAAACAGTTTTTACTTTTAATAGCTGAGACTGATGAATCAATTGATGAGTTGAACTTTAGATTTTGGTGAAGATTGTATGGTACGCTTGAATCTGTAAAATGACGATCCTGTATAGAACTAATAGGTGTCTTCTCTATAACATTTTCTTCTCTGATAGCAAAACTGTTTTTACTATCTTTGCTCCGTGTGTTACTCAGAGTATATCATCAGCAACTTTGAGTTTTAGGTCTTCTCTGACAGCAAAACTGTTTTACTATCATTGCTCAGTGTGTTGCTTATATCTTCAACATCTTTAAATTTCTTGTCGGATTCAACAAAACCTATAATGCTTGTTAAGTTTTTTGGCACCTTTTCTTGAGTTCTGGATAATTGGTTAAACAGAGATTGTTGGGACGCTCCTTGGTTGACCGCAATACAGTTATTACTATCAGAAGTAGGTAATTGTGTTACAAGCTCACTTGGTGGAGGATTGAACATTTGTGCTTGCTGGAATTGCAAGTAATTAGGTCTCTGAGTTTGTCTTGGAACTTCTGGTATTCTATCTGATTGTCTATACATATAAGGTGGTGGAGCCGGTATACCATGATGGAATAATGGATGACTGATGGCACTTGTTGTATCCATTGATTTGGTGTAACATGAAAAACATGTTGTGGTGGCACCATGTGTACTGGAACTTGCGAATTAAAGTTATTTTGATTTTGATTTCTTAGTGTCAGGATTTGGTTTTCTAAGTTTTGTAATCTGAGGTTGGTCATTTCTCGTTCTAATTCTTTAACCCTGTTGTCCAGTTGCGTACAGTGACAATTTTGGTAAGTAACATTTGTGGATAAAGTGTGAGTGTTCAAGCTGTGATTGTCAGATCTACTTGTATCTTGGATATTGCCATTTAAGCCTAATTGTGTAAGTTTCAAGTTCTTTATTGTGTTATTGTTATCTAAGATGGTATTTTCTAGAGCTGCAATGTGGGCTTCTGCTACAGCAAGTCAAGTTAGACTTTAGATCATCTTGTTTTAAGTTCTTCTGTTTCTTTGGTCCGGCGGCTTGTTTGGTTAGCTTTATGGTATTGGTGTCTGATTGATCAATATGAATCTGAGAGCTTGGAGTTATGTTTTCATGAGCTCTTGTATTTGTAAGTTGTTTGATACAATACAAATTTGAATGCACATGGTCTTGAGGGTTGGAATTTGAGACGTGGTCAAATATGCCAGTTTCTTGTGAAGATTTTCCAAGTTCGTTCTTGATAGGAACTATTTTTACTATAGTATCTGGTGAATTAAGAGTGTTACCAATTTGTTCAATGCTTTGGTTGTTTAATTCTAGTCAGTCACATATGGGTAGGTCTTTAAATGATACATATTATCATCGAGCCCATGCATGCATTGTAAATTGTTTATTTTACTTTTTATAATTTGGATATACGTTTTAAATCAAATATGAAAATTTGAGTCAAATCGGTGAACATGAATTTCACAGCTAATACCCCTTCAAATATAATTTAACCTATCATATCTCTTAACATGTTTAAGTGCTCCTTTGATGGAGGACTTATACAGAAGTTGATACTGACACTTATGCGGTCGCTACATTTCCCGTTACAAATAGTTATTTTCTGATCGAACTGTCCCTGGTTGTTCTGTTTCATTCTGGCTGCACGTATAACGTATAGAGGGTTGACGTTGGAAAATTGGTACATTTTTCGTATTCTTTTTTTATTATTATACGCCTTGTAGACAGCAACACAACGACACGACGCACACGCAATTTTCAGTTGTTGACTCTAACGTCACGGTACCCAAATTGCACCTATTAAACGAAAATAGCAGCGGAAATCTTACAAGTTTTTCTAGAGACTAAACCATTTGTATTTTTATAATTTGATACTATGCACGTGTTTCAACATAGGTAAATATATCTAGATATAAAACGTTCACAGTATATATCTACAGATGAAGTGTTTACTGGAAAGGTAAAATGTACGGAAACATCACCATGTGACGTCCACAAAAAGTCATCTTTAAAAAATTAGCAAATAAAATATGTTGCAAGCATTCATTTCTTAAGAAATGAAGAGTGAACATGGACTAATGTCAAATTGTTTAAAATATTTGAAGAAATAAAACAAAAGATCTGTTATTCGACTTTTAAGGATGTGAATTTAAGCATGGATGCAATTTGGGTACTCCTCATTACAGAACCATTGATGGTTTGGAGGTTGGTTCAGATAAATTTTTCTATGATTCAATATGGATTAAAAATTAAATCGGTGAAACCATATAGTAAATAATGATACATCTACAAAATAAACACAAAATGGAAACTTTTGTGCAGAGGATAAATAAACGTAGGTGAAAAAACTGTTAAAATAGGTGCAATTTGGGTACCCTCACGTTAAGTTTACTATATAAATGAGGCCCCTCATGGGGTGTCCAAGTAATCACATAGTCACAAATTTTTTGCCAATATAATCGCATTTAATCATTAATTATTTTTTTAAACAAGATAATCAAAAATACAGTCCTTGATTATCGAGATAATCAAATAATCATGAAATATTTGGTCTGGTAATCAAATAATCACTATCAAAACGGCCAAGTAATCACATAATCTAAAACCCCATGAGGAGGCTCATAAATCCTTGTGTCCTTCATCGAGCTGTAGAAAAATTTATCCCTTTGAAATAAATGAAATTTTAGATTCTGCAATAATATGACACTTACATGTATGTAGTTTTTTTAATGAAACTCTGAAATGAAAGTCAATATCTGCTTTATACCAAGCGTTAGCAAGGTGTAAACTGCTGACAAATATAATGCCTACCCATGTTTAAATGAGCATAGAGCATGGCATGATAGAATTATTCCGATTCTGATAGGAAAATTTATAACTATAATCCTCTGAAGCAGACCTATAACATGTATAATACACATGGAAAGCAGCCATTTTGATTTGATGAAGCTGAAACAATATAGAAAATTAACTGCTTAACGATAAAAAATGAACAGATACATATAAACTTACTTTTAGAATGATTTTATTTGATGCGAGCAACATCAACACAAATGTCTATTTTGATCTGCAGCGTTGTTTAAAAATAAAATACAACATTGTACAACTGACATTGAAATTTCAATTGTGACATCATTCACATGCAGCCTATGTTTATTGGAATTAGAACATGGCTTTGTGTCAAAAGTGAAAGAAGAACGTCATATTAGACATGTTAGAATTAATGACATTGTATATGCTTAATTAATGACATTATTTATATATATTTTATAAATGACTGGTGACTGGCTAATGTGAAAATAAATAGTGTTTAATGCAAGTAGAGCAGATCAAGGGACTGAATAATGTATCAGTTTTGACTATGAGTGCTTATCCAACAGTGTGTATACCAGTGATGTAGCTTGCCCTTTGTTATTAACGAGGCAGGGGGTCTTGGGGGCTGAGCCCCCCAGAAGCTATAGAGGTTTTGCAATTTGAACAAGAAGAATCCATTAAAAATGATAGCGGTTGTTTAAATTATCATCATAATAATGTTAATATGCCTTACACTAAGTTATACTACAGATTATTAGTTTATAACTGGTACATACGTCATTTTCAATGTTCAGATGAATACATAAATGTTCTCAAAAACATTTATCCCTTTTTCAAATCGAATCCTTTTAGGGAACTTCCAAGATTTTAAATTCATTGGGAATAAAAGGAGATGGATATGAGCAAGGATTTGTATTGTAATATACAAATCCTTGATATGAGGTACATGTATACAAAAAGACACAGCAAGCCAACAATACAACAAAATTCAAAGTCATCTAGAAGTCGACACAGGTCTCAAGCAATATATATATATATATGTTCTTACAATATGTCAAGCTCCAAAGTTACTTTTTTTCTTTTCTCTTTGTTTGTGAGAGACTGAATAGGAAGCACGTCAAGTTACCACATAAGACAACTATTGACAAATTTCCTGAAAGCCAATTCAAATACTGTAAATTCAGAAATTATTGCGTGCATTTATTATTGCGATTTTGTCATTTTAGACTAAAATGCGATTTTAATTTTTGCGATATTGAGAAAAATCCTGTTTAATTCATATAAAAAATTTCAAAATGCGAGTTTGAATTATTGCGATTATAACCTTGTCGCATTTTTCGCAATAATAGAGCCTGATCATCTTTAGTTTTATCGATTTCTTTGACTCCGTCATATTTATATTACTGAAAACTACCGCAAAGGGGATTTCTGATTAGTGGAGGGAAATCTTTCCATATGTCTTGAATTCGCAAAGGGTATGAATCAATAACAACAATGAGATGATACAAGTAGTCATATTAGCGTTAAGTAGCGATTGTGCTACATAAGGTGGAAATTGTTTAAAAGATTAAAAAGGATTTTTTTTTTTTTTCATCGAGGCTGCTGCCTCGGTTGCCTCAACGTAAGCTACGCCAATGTATACATCAAAACTATACATGGTATAAATCAAGATCCTGTAGCAATATATCCATTGAGCGAGTCTGGAATACCCACACTGATTCTTCTCCTCTGTATATAATTTCTTCTTTTCTAAGTAACATGTTCTAGAATCTACAAGTCATTCAACCCAATAAAATTTTAGCCTCTTTATTGTCCCCCGTGAATGCGTTTCGGGGGACATTTATAGAAATACTGTGTGTCTGTCCGTCCGTCCTGTCTTGTTAGCGCTCTCACATGTACAGTTCTTGCCAGATTTTTATGAAACTTATAACAGTCAGGGGTACTACTTGTACAAGTAATCTTTATTTACTTAAAGAAGTAAAAAAAATATATTTATATAAGTTAATTATAATGTTTGAATAATCTCCCCTTAATTTTCACAAAAATTTACTTGACGTATAAGTAAATTTTTTTTACAATCCCACAAAAATTCTAAAGTTTTGAGATGTAAAAACATGCCTTTAATAATTTTTACCAGGTTAACTCATAATTTTTTATTAGAGTTCAATGTTTCATCTCATTAATTCAACAAAGAAACTGACTGCACAAAGATCTTAAGTATTTGCGCAAGGCCTTCAAAAATTGCCCCTTCAGTGTTCTGAAGATAACAGACAAATGAGATTTTCATTGTCCATGAAATTACACTTACATGATTAGTAAAGACATCTGCAAAGGACAGACAATTTAAAATTCTATTAGAGCAAAGAAGTCCTAAGAATTCAAGAAAAGAAGATAGGATGACTTTTTTACTTATATAAGTAAAAAAATCTGAATGTCTAAGGGACATAACTAAGCCAAAAAATTATTTACCTATACAAGTAAATAAAATACACTTGTATAAGTATCCTACAAATTTACTTATATAAGTATATTAATATTACTTCTTCAAGTAGATAAAAATTACTTGTACAAGTAGTACCCCTGACTGTATAACATAGGTTTATATTAGCAATATCTTGGAAGAGTTCGAAAAGCAGTGCAGATGAATTATTTTTAAAAGAGTTATGCCCATGGAAATATTAATTATATGGAAAATTGCCTGATGAGCGCTCTAATGTGTACAATTCTTGTCAGATTTTTATGAAATTTATATTATAGGTTTATATCATCAATGTTTTTGACAAGTTTGAAAAATCAGTGCCGATCAATTATTTTTAAAAGAGTTATGCCCCTTGGAAATATTGATTATATGAAAAATTGCATTGTTAGCCCTCTCATTTGTACAATTCTTGCCAGAATTTTATGAAATTTCTATCAGAGGATTATATCAGCAATGTATTTTAGACTTCCGAAATTCAGTGCTGATCAAATATTTTGAATGAGTTATGCCCTTGGAAAAATTGATTATAATGGAAATTGCATTGCATTTGCTCTGAAGCCTTCATTTGTCTAAGATATTTATGAATTGTTTTAAAGAACCAAAAAAAAAAGTGTTTTATTTAGTATTTATAGCCCTTGTACCTTGGATAGATAAAATATGTGCAATGTTGGGGACATTGGAGCTCTGTTCTTTTATTGGGCAATGAATCACAACTAACTTTTGTTAAGTAATAATTTCAAGATGAGCAAAACTTCTGTTTTTCAACAGTAAAATGAAATGTTAATTAAGAATATTTTTATAAATGTTGATTCTCCATACTTTGGTGAAATATTTTTTCTATTATCATTAATATATTTATTTTACATGTTATTGGTGTAAAAAAACAGTTGCACTTTATATCAACAAATTACAATGTGGCATTGAAAAAGATAATTCATTTCTGAAACTTTTAAACTCTCCACAGAACCACAGGTGCTTGGGCTATGGACCTGACCTTTTTTGACTGTTTTTTTTTAAGTAAATTTAGATTTCTTTAATATTTAAACTTAATTTCACTTATTTAAAGTTTTCTTATTCTTATTCATACCATCTTAAAAACAGTAGTTTTTGCATGCTGCCCCATATTTCCTATTTTATTTGAATGCAAGGTTTCATCAAAGTTATCAGTATCAGGTAAAACCTTTTATTTATATTAATTGATATTACCAGGACAAATTTGATATTTTTCTGCACAATTTTTTCTATACCTGCACTTTTTTCTGTGCTAGATATATTTTAGTCATCAATATCAAAATGACTTATGTTAATTATACAGAAAAATAATTAAAATAAAAATCCTGACATATATATATGTCAGGTATGTAGTCTGAAGTGATAAAAGAGTTATTGATTATTGTGATCTTGTAGCATCTGTAAGCTGATAGTAAATCATGTGATTATAATGGTCTGTACAGATATGTTCATGTGACATATATAGATTTTTATTTGAAAGAAACATCATGTTATTCACTAAATGTACATACATGAAGTATGATATTGTTCTTTTTTATTTTAAGAACATTAGAAGCATTGTATACGCATAGAGTAAGTATCAATATTTCAATAATATATATACAGCCATATTGCATTTTCTAAAAAAGCGGATTTTCGCAGATAAAGTCAAGCTAACTTATATCATTGTATATCATGTACATATTTTTTTATTATGAACTTAGAATATAATATGTGGTTTGGATGAAGTATTTCACTACTTGTGAAATTTACCTATTCTGACTTTAAAGTATAAAATTCCTGATCAAAAATGTTTTGTTTAGTAAGTCAATTATTTTGAACCTTTTCACACTAGATTAGGCTCTAAACATATTTATATTCAATACAATATATTACTCATTTGCCATAACCTTAAATAAAAACTTTACAAACCATTACATAGTGATTCTTTTAATGCAAATGACCTTATGTGTGCATGTTGGAGTTGTGATTGGTTACAGTCACATGAAAATATAGATGTTGAGTATCTACTTATAACTTTGACTTTTTTTCCCACTTTGAAGGAGTAGTGTTATAGTCAATACTGGTATTAAACAAACCAATCAAACAGTATTTCCAATCTATTTTCAGATAATGTACTGTAAACAACATTAGATAATTCCAACATTATGACTGAACCGGTGATTCATGTTGTCCTGATCACTTTACTCGTGTTTTTAGTGGAAGCTGCTTCAAGACCCAATATTGTTGTCATTGTAGCAGATGATTTGGTAATGTTATCATTTGCAAATATACAGGGAACAGAATGCTATCAGTCAAATCTGTTGTAATTAGGTCTTTCCACATTTCTATGGCAAGACCTTTAGTTTTTGTTCTGATTATTATTATTATTTTTTCTTCTTTTACTGCCATAATTTTTTCTTGCATTGTATTGTAGAAAATGATAAATTGTATATCAATTCTGTTCCTATAGTTACAATTTTACAGATAGCACTCCTAGTGATACCCATTTTGTCAAGAGTATTCCTATAGTTACAATTTTACAGGTAGCACTCCTAGTGATACCCATTTTGTCGAGAGTGTTCCTATAGTTACAATTTTACAGGTAGTGCTCCTTGTCATTTTGTTGTCCCCATGCAAATCAGTGCTCATCAATTATTTTTATGCCCCCGCCGTAGCCGTGGGGGCATTAAGTTTTACCCTTGTCCGCCTGTACGTACGTCCCAAAATTGGTTTCCGTTCTCTAACTTGAGTTTGCCTCAACCAAATGTTATGAAACTTATACACAATGCTTATTACCACAAAACACAGATCAAGTTTGAATTTTGGTGGCGTCACTTTAACCCTTCTAGAGTAATGCCCCTTTATAAATGGAAAAATTGCAAAATTTTTGGTTTCCATTCTCTAACTTAAGTTTGCCTCAACCAAATGTTATGAAACTTATACACAATGCTTATTACCACAAAACACAGATCAAGTTTGAATTTTGGTGGCGTCACTTTAACAGTTCTAGAGTAATGCTCCTTTATAAATGGAAAAATTGCAAAATTTTTATTTTCTTCTAACTATCAAGTAATTTTTGTCTCGCCTTGACGGAGTCAAAAAGCAAGACATAGGTATGCTGTTTCCTGCGGCGGCAGCGGCGACGGCGGCGGCGTCAACAATGTATTAGTTTGTGATTAGGTCTAGTTCATGGTGAACCACTAGTGGTAGGTCAATGATATTTGGTATGCAGTTGTATTAGTATTGGCACATCTCATTACCAAGGAGATTATTTGGCCCCGCCCCCTCAGTCAAGATCTATTGACTTTGAAACTTTGCTTAGTTTACATGTATTAGTTTGTGATTAGGTCAGTTTATGGGGAACCACTAGTGGTAGGTCAATGATATTTGGTATGCAGTTGTATTAACATTGGCACATCTCATTACCATGGAGATTATTTAGCCCTGCCCCCTCAGTCAAGGTCTATTGACTTTGAAACTTTGCTTAGTTTACATGTATTAGTTTGTGATTAGGTCAGTTTATGGGGAACCACTAGTGGTAGGTCAATAATATTTGGTGTGCAGTTGTATAAGCATTGGCATATCTCATTTCCATGGAGATTATTTGGCCCTGCCCCCTCAGTCATGGTATATTGACTTTGAAACTTTGCTTAGTTTACATGTATTAGTTTGTGATTAGGTCAGTTTATGGGGAACCACTAGTGGTAGGTCAATGATATTTGGTATGCAGTTGTATAAGCATTGGCATAACTCATTTCCATGGAGATTATTTGGCCCTGCCCCCTCAGTCATGGTCTATTGACTTTGAAACTTTTGCTTAGTTAACATGTATTGGTTTGTGATTAGGTCAGTTCAAGATGAACCACTAATGTTAAGTCAATGATATTTGGTATGTAAATGTACTGGCATTTGCAAGTTTCATTTCCATGGAGATTATATAACCCCACTCCCTAATTATGGTTCTTTGACTTTGAAACTTTTACATAGTTTACAAGTTAATGTTTGTGTTTAGGTTTGTTTAAAGGGAACGACTTATGAAAAGTCAATGGTATTTGGTTTGCAGTTGTATTGGCACATCTCATTTCCATTGAGAATGTTTAGCCCTGTACCTTCAGTCATGGTTCATTGACTTTGAATATTTGCATAACTTACATGTTAAAGTATTGCTATTTTAATTTCAACATTTGCATTATCAAAATAACAAATAGGCGAGACATATCTCTGTGTTAACAGTTTATTGAAATCAGAGTTATCTTCCTTTGTCCATGATTATAGTTGAATCAACTACAATCAATGCTTTATACAATGCAATGTTTAATTTTGACTTCCACTGATAAAACGCAGATCAAGTTGAATTTGGGTAGTGTCACTTTAACCATTATTGAGTTATGCTCCTTTATAAATCGAAAGATTGCAAAATTGTTAGTTTCCATTCTGTAACTGAAGTTTGCCCCAACCAAACATTATGAAACCTATACACAATATTCATTACCACAAAACTAAGATCAAGTACAAATTTTTCGTTTCCGTTTTCTAACTTTAGTTTGCCTCAACCAAATGTTATGAAACTTATACACAATTCTTATTACTACATAATACAGATTAAGTACGAAATTTGGTGGCGACACTAGTACTTTTACCATTCTTGAGTTATATCCCTTTATAAACATAAAAATTGCTGAATTTTTCGTTTCCGTTCTCTTATTTTAGTTTGTCTCAACCAAATGTTATAAAACTTATACACAACCGTTCTAGAGTTATGTGTGTTTACAAATAGAAAATTGCTGAATTTTTAGTTTCTGTTCTCTACTTAAGTTAGCCTCAACCAAATGTTATGAGACTTACACACAATGCTTATTACCACAAAACTCAGATCAAGTTCAAATTTGGATAGCGTCACTTTTACCGTTCTTCAGTTATGTCCCTTTATAACTATATGATATGCAAGCAGGTGCATCATCTGTGTCCACATGTGGACACTATCCACATTTATTTAAAGAGTTTTGCCCCTTGGAAACATTAATTATATGGAAAATTGCATCCTTAGTGCTCTCATGTGTACAATTCTTGACAGAATTTTATGAAACTTATATCATAGGTTTTATATTGTCACAGTTTATATTAAAAAATGTCTTTGACACTTTCGAAAATAAGTGATGATTAAATAATTTTAAAGAGTTATGCTCCTTAGAAATATTAATTATAACTGAAATAGCATTGCATTTGCTCTAAAGCATTCATTTCTCCAAGATATTTATAAAAAGATTTTAAGAACAAAAAAAAAAAAGTTTTTTTTTATTATTGCCCTTGTACCTTGGAAAGATGAAAATATGTGCAACGCTGGGGACATTGGAACTCTGTTCTTTTATTAAGACAGTTCCTATGGTTACAATTTTACAAATAGCAACCCCAGACATTTTGTCCAAACTGATTATAGAGACTGAGAAAGGCCTGTAACTACCTTATTATAAATGTCAGAGCTATAAGACATATGCTAGCATAGTTTAGACTGTTGTATGAGTCATGCATATATTAGCATAGTTTTAGACTGGTGTATTCATCAAACAAATGTATGTAAGAATGATATTAGATTGGTTTAGTTTCTTGTGTACAATTTGGAGTTTAGTATGGCGTTCATTATCACTGAACTAGTATATATATTTGTTTAGGGGCCAGCTGAAGGACGCCTCCGGGTGCGGGAATTTCTCGCTGCATTGAAGACCTGTTGGTGACCTTCTGCTGTTGTCTGTTCTATGGTCGGGTTGTTGTCTCTTTGACACATTCCCCATTTCCATTCTCAATTTTATATAGACATGTGAATTCGTAGAAAATAGAAACCATACTTAAAACTTGCTAAATTTTACCGCTACCAGCCCTCTGTTTAAAACTTACATCTTTAGATTATGTTATTTTGTTTCTTCACAGGGATGGAATGATGTCAGTTTCCATGGTTCAGATCAGATATCAACTCCACACCTAGATGAACTTGCTTATAAAGGTGTCCTGTTAAAGAATTATTATGTATCTCCTATCTGTACTCCAACCAGAGGGGCTTTAATGTCAGGCAGACACCCCATCCATACAGGTACAGTATCCAACTAGAGGGGCTTTAATATCAGGCAGACACCCCATCCATACAGGTACGGTACTCCAACCAGAGGGGCTTTAATGTCAGGCAGACACCCCATCCATACAGGTACGGTACTCTCACCAGGGGGGCTTTAATGTCAGGCAGACACCCCATCCACACAGGTACGGTACTCTCACCAGGGGGCTTTAATGTCAGGCAGACACCCCATCCATACAGGTACAGTACTCTCACCAGGGGGCTTTAATGTCAGGCAGACACCCCATTCATACATGTACAGTACTCCAACTAGAGGGGCTTTAATGTCAGGCAGACACCCCATCCATACAGGTACAGTACTCCAACTAGAGGGGCTTTAATGTCAGGCAGACACCCCATCCATACAGGTACAGTACTCCAACCAGAGGGGCTTTAATGTCAGGCAGACACCCCATCAATACAGGTACAGTACTCCAACCAGTGGGGCTTTAATGTCAGGCAGACACCCCATCCATACAGGTACAGTACTCTAACCAGAGGGGCTTTAATGTCAGGCAGACACTCCATATATACAGGTACAGTACTCAAACCAGTGGGGCTTTAATGTCAGGCAGACACCCCATTCATACATGTAGAGTACTCCAACCAGGGGGGCTTTAATGTCAGTCAGACACTCTATCCATACAGGTACAGTACTCTAACCAGAGGGGCTTTACTGTCAGGCAGACACTCCATCCGTTCAGGTACAGTGCTCCAACTAGAGGGGCTTTAATGTCAGGCAGACACCCCATTCATACAGGTACAGTACTCCAACTAGAGAGGCTTTAATGTCAGGCAGACACCCCATTCATACAGGTACAGTACTCGAAACCATGGCGCTTTAATGTCAGTCAGACACTCCATCTATGCAGGTACAGTACTCCAACCAGTGGGGCTTTAATGTCAGGCAGACACCCCATTCATACAGGTACAGTACTCCAACCAGAGGGGCTTTAATGTCAGGCAGACACCCCATTCATACAGGTACAGTACTCCAACTAGAGGGGCTTTAATGTCAGGCAGACACCCCATTCATACAGGTACAGTACTCCAACTAGAGGGGCTTTAATGTCAGGCAGACACCCCATTCATACAGGTACAGTACTCCAACTAGAGGGGCTTTAATGTCAGGCAGACACCCCATTCATACAGGTACAGTACTCCAACTAGAGGGGCTTTAATGTCAGGCAGACACCCCATTCGTACAGGTACAGTACTCCAACTAGAGGGGCTTTAATGTCAGGCAGACACTCCATCCATACAGGTACAGTTATCCAACTAGAGGGGATTTAATGTCAGGCAGACACCTCATCCATACATGTACAGTACTCCAACTAGAGGTGCTTTAATGTCGGGCAGACACCCCATCCATACAGGTACAGTACTCAACTAGAGGGGCTTTAATGTCGGGCAGACACCCCATCCATACAGGTACAGTACTCCAATTAGAGGGGCTTTAATATCGGGCAGACACTTCATCCATACAGGTACAGTACTCCAACTAGAGGGGCTTTAATGTCAGGCAGACACTCTATCCATACAGGTACAGTACTCTAACCAGAGGGGCTTTACTGTCAGGCAGACACTCCATCCGTTCAGGTACAGTGCTCCAACCAGAGGGGTTTTAATGTCAGGCAGACACCCCATCCATACAGGTACAGTACTCCAACCAGAGGGGCTTTAATGTCAGGCAGACACCCCATTCATACAGGTACAGTACTCCAACCAGGGGGGCTTTAATGTCAGTCAGACACTCCATCCATACAGGTACAGTACTCCAACCAGTGGGGCTTTAATGTCAGGCAGACACCCAATTCATACAGGTACAGTACTCCAACCAGAGGGGCTTTAATGTCAGGCAGACATCCCATTCATACAGGTACAGTACTCCAACTAGAGGGGCTTTAATGTCAGGCAGACACCCCATTCATACAGGTACAGTACTCCAACTAGAGGGGCTTTAATGTCAGGCAGACACCCCATTCATACAGGTACAGTACTCCAACTAGAGGGGCTTTAATGTCAGGCAGACACTCCATCCATACAGATACAGTTATCCAACTAGAGGGGATTTAATGTCAGGCAGACACCCCATTCAAACAGGTACAGTACTCCAACTAGAGGGGCTTTAATGTCAGGCAGACACCCCATCCATACAGGTACAGTACTCCAACCAGAGGGGCTTTAATGTCAGGCAGACACCCCATTCATACAGGTACAGTACTCCAACCAGGGGGGCTTTAATGTCAGTCAGACACTCCATCCATACAGGTACAGTACTCCAACCAGTGGGGCTTTAATGTCAGGCAGACACCCAATTCATACAGGTACAGTACTCCAACCAGAGGGGCTTTAATGTCAGGCAGACACCCCATTTATACAGGTACAGTACTCCAACCAGTGGGGCTTTAATGTCGGGCAGACACCCCATCCATACAGGTACAGTACTCCAATTAGAGGGGCTTTAATATCGGGCAGACACTTCATCCATACAGGTACAGTACTCCAACTAGAGGGGCTTTAATGTCAGGCAGACACTCTATCCATACAGGTACAGTACTCTAACCAGAGGGGCTTTACTGTCAGGCAGACACTCCATCCGTTCAGGTACAGTGCTCCAACCAGAGGGGTTTTAATGTCAGGCAGACACCCCATCCATACAGGTACAGTACTCCAACCAGAGGGGCTTTAATGTCAGGCAGACACCCCATTCATACAGGTACAGTACTCCAACCAGGGGGGCTTTAATGTCAGTCAGACACTCCATCCATACAGGTACAGTACTCCAACCAGTGGGGCTTTAATGTCAGGCAGACACCCAATTCATACAGGTACAGTACTCCAACCAGAGGGGCTTTAATGTCAGGCAGACATCCCATTCATACAGGTACAGTACTCCAACTAGAGGGGCTTTAATGTCAGGCAGACACCCCATTCATACAGGTACAGTACTCCAACTAGAGGGGCTTTAATGTCAGGCAGACACCCCATTCATACAGGTACAGTACTCCAACTAGAGGGGCTTTAATGTCAGGCAGACACTCCATCCATACAGGTACAGTAGTCCAACTAGAGGGGCTTTAATGTCAGGCAGACACCCCATCAATACAGGTACAGTACTCCAACCAGTGGGGCTTTAATGTCAGGCAGACACCCCATCCATACAGGTACAGTACTCTAACCAGAGGGGCTTTAATGTCAGGCAGACACTCCATTCATACAGGTACAGTACTCAAACCAGTGGGGCTTTAATGTCAGGCAGACACCCCATTCATACATGTAGAGTACTCCAACCAGGGGGGCTTTAATGTCAGTCAGACACTCTATCCATACAGGTACAGTACTCTAACCAGAGGGGCTTTACTGTCAGGCAGACACTCCATCCGTTCAGGTACAGTGCTCCAACTAGAGGGGCTTTAATGTCAGGCAGACACCCCATTCATACAGGTACAGTACTCCAACTAGAGAGGCTTTAATGTCAGGCAGACACCCCATTCATACAGGTACAGTACTCGAAACCATGGCGCTTTAATGTCAGTCAGACACTCCATCTATGCAGGTACAGTACTCCAACCAGTGGGGCTTTAATGTCAGGCAGACACCCCATTCATACAGGTACAGTACTCCAACCAGAGGGGCTTTAATGTCAGGCAGACACCCCATTCATACAGGTACAGTACTCCAACTAGAGGGGCTTTAATGTCAGGCAGACACCCCATTCATACAGGTACAGTACTCCAACTAGAGGGGCTTTAATGTCAGGCAGACACCCCATTCATACAGGTACAGTACTCCAACTAGAGGGGCTTTAATGTCAGGCAGACACCCCATTCATACAGGTACAGTACTCCAACTAGAGGGGCTTTAATGTCAGGCAGACACCCCATTCGTACAGGTACAGTACTCCAACTAGAGGGGCTTTAATGTCAGGCAGACACTCCATCCATACAGGTACAGTTATCCAACTAGAGGGGATTTAATGTCAGGCAGACACCTCATCCATACATGTACAGTACTCCAACTAGAGGTGCTTTAATGTCGGGCAGACACCCCATCCATACAGGTACAGTACTCAACTAGAGGGGCTTTAATGTCGGGCAGACACCCCATCCATACAGGTACAGTACTCCAATTAGAGGGGCTTTAATATCGGGCAGACACTTCATCCATACAGGTACAGTACTCCAACTAGAGGGGCTTTAATGTCAGGCAGACACTCTATCCATACAGGTACAGTACTCTAACCAGAGGGGCTTTACTGTCAGGCAGACACTCCATCCGTTCAGGTACAGTGCTCCAACCAGAGGGGTTTTAATGTCAGGCAGACACCCCATCCATACAGGTACAGTACTCCAACCAGAGGGGCTTTAATGTCAGGCAGACACCCCATTCATACAGGTACAGTACTCCAACCAGGGGGGCTTTAATGTCAGTCAGACACTCCATCCATACAGGTACAGTACTCCAACCAGTGGGGCTTTAATGTCAGGCAGACACCCAATTCATACAGGTACAGTACTCCAACCAGAGGGGCTTTAATGTCAGGCAGACATCCCATTCATACAGGTACAGTACTCCAACTAGAGGGGCTTTAATGTCAGGCAGACACCCCATTCATACAGGTACAGTACTCCAACTAGAGGGGCTTTAATGTCAGGCAGACACCCCATTCATACAGGTACAGTACTCCAACTAGAGGGGCTTTAATGTCAGGCAGACACTCCATCCATACAGATACAGTTATCCAACTAGAGGGGATTTAATGTCAGGCAGACACCCCATTCAAACAGGTACAGTACTCCAACTAGAGGGGCTTTAATGTCAGGCAGACACCCCATCCATACAGGTACAGTACTCCAACCAGAGGGGCTTTAATGTCAGGCAGACACCCCATTCATACAGGTACAGTACTCCAACCAGGGGGGCTTTAATGTCAGTCAGACACTCCATCCATACAGGTACAGTACTCCAACCAGTGGGGCTTTAATGTCAGGCAGACACCCAATTCATACAGGTACAGTACTCCAACCAGAGGGGCTTTAATGTCAGGCAGACACCCCATTTATACAGGTACAGTACTCCAACCAGTGGGGCTTTAATGTCGGGCAGACACCCCATCCATACAGGTACAGTACTCCAATTAGAGGGGCTTTAATATCGGGCAGACACTTCATCCATACAGGTACAGTACTCCAACTAGAGGGGCTTTAATGTCAGGCAGACACTCTATCCATACAGGTACAGTACTCTAACCAGAGGGGCTTTACTGTCAGGCAGACACTCCATCCGTTCAGGTACAGTGCTCCAACCAGAGGGGTTTTAATGTCAGGCAGACACCCCATCCATACAGGTACAGTACTCCAACCAGAGGGGCTTTAATGTCAGGCAGACACCCCATTCATACAGGTACAGTACTCCAACCAGGGGGGCTTTAATGTCAGTCAGACACTCCATCCATACAGGTACAGTACTCCAACCAGTGGGGCTTTAATGTCAGGCAGACACCCAATTCATACAGGTACAGTACTCCAACCAGAGGGGCTTTAATGTCAGGCAGACATCCCATTCATACAGGTACAGTACTCCAACTAGAGGGGCTTTAATGTCAGGCAGACACCCCATTCATACAGGTACAGTACTCCAACTAGAGGGGCTTTAATGTCAGGCAGACACCCCATTCATACAGGTACAGTACTCCAACTAGAGGGGCTTTAATGTCAGGCAGACACTCCATCCATACAGGTACAGTAGTCCAACTAGAGGGGCTTTAATGTCAGGCAGACACCCCATTCATACAGGTTCAGTACTCTAACCAGTGGGGCTTTAATGTCAGACAGACACCCATCCATACAGGTACATCTGTAGAGATACACTGAATAATCAAAGTCTTGCTTTGTTTCATATGGCAGAACGATCATGCATACAGTTATAGTTGAATCATTTGAAGCCTTAACTTGATCACTACAATTAACAAACATCTTAAACATTTAAATAGGCACTAAGAAAGATATGGTTAATAATACAGAAACACAGAAACCCGACAACAATGACAAATAAAAGAATACTTTCAAATATTATGATATTAGGTCAACACTGACAGAGTAAGACAACTGTCCAAATCATATGTCAATCTCAAAGTTAAGAACAGTTGTTGATAAATTCAACCTCAATAAATTGTCATTAACACATAATTCTTTATACAGAAGTCCATATTATATACATACATTAAACTTAACCTATAGTAAGATATATACTGCATTTGTATTAATGGGCTGGAAAAATATCTAATTTGGATTATCTCCCATTACCAGAAAAAACATTTCAATAAATAAATGTTTTAAATGTTAGATGTTGCAAAAATGTTATAATGTATGAAAGATAGGTCATAAACTTATGTAAAGTAAAAGTTATGTTGTGTTTCCAGATGTCTCTATAATTTGAAAAAAACCAAAGACAAAGCCTCTGTTGAGGTTTCTGATTCACATTAGCAAGTTAAACTAGTTATGTAAGTACCCAGTCCTACCTTTATAATTCCAGTCAGTGAAATAACAGAAAGAAGAGAAAGAAATATTATAAAAATAATTGCAAAAATGGGTACTTAATCCATTGTTGATTTTTATCTTACAGTAATGTACAGGAGATGAAAACTAAGCTAGTAGTTTCTGGTTCCAATAATGTAATTTTTAATATAAGGTTACTGATAAAATAGTAAAAATTGAGCAGGTGGATATATATATATATATAGTCTCTACCACTGCATCGAGTGTAATACTATATTTATCCACTTGAGACAATTTTCAAATTTAAAATGCGAGGCTTGCTGAGCGTTCTAAATATTTAAAATTTAACTGTCGAGAGTGGATACATATTGTATTACACTAAATTTGGTGGTGGAATTTGTTTCTCTAATGATTTTTATACAATATGCAGGCAAACTTATTCCTTTTTTTCAAATGATCTGCAAAAAGATGTGTTCTTTCTATGTGACGTCATCAGGCATGGTCGCCTTTTTTCATATCGTCACAATAGGAAATTCAGAGGAAAGCAATAAAATTTGACGTCATAATCAAATATTGACCAATGAATATGAGATCAAACGTACCACATGTTGATTAAATAAAAATAATCAACAGGTCAGGAAAAGGAAAAATTGGGTTAGAATTAGAGAAATTTCGTTATTGACTTGTTGATAAAGCCATGCATAGTATTTGAATTTTCTTATTTTATTGCAATCAGAAATTTTGTACCTTAAACCACCTTTTTTTTAATTGATCTCATTTTTATATGAAAACATATCTTTCATCAAACTTTCACTTAGAAGTGTATTTGGAGGAGATAAATGTTTATGAATAACAAAAGATGGTAACTTTTCTATTTGTGTTTAGGATTACAACATAGTGTTATTATGGGGTCAGAACCTTATGGTTTGCCATTAAATGTTTCTATCATGCCGGAGTGGTTACAGAAACTAGGATATAGGACACATATGGTTGGAAAGGTAGCCATTTAAAGCATGAACTTTCAACCTCTCAGATCAATGGTATCGTCAAATAATTGCTACCTTTGCAACAATCGTGAAAGTATTAATATATTCTTGACATGGGAAACATATTAATCTGTGTTTAGAAACATTTGAGAATTTACTTGTATTGAATTATGAAGTTACAATTAAATTGAGATTGTATAAATATTAACATCACAGATGAGTAAAGTTGTTGGGATGGTAGCAGTTATGTAACTAACAGAATGTTTATTTTGTTAGAACTTAGACTTAGACTTGCTTTTTAAACAAATTATATATATTGATACTTCTAACCTCTTATCCCTTGTATAATTTTATTTCTGTAGGACTTCAGTCTGGTGTTATTATAGGTTCACAGCCTTATGGTCTCCCTCTTAATTTTACCATTATGCCTCAATGGTTAAAACAACTTGGTTATAGGACCCATATGGTGGGCAAGGTAGTTCTTTTATTAAGTCTCCCAAACGAAGTTTGGGAAGACTTATTGTTTTTGCTCAGTTCTTATTATTATTATTATTCTTCTTCCTCTTCCTCTTCCTCTTCCGCCGCTTTTAAATTTGAACTTGTCCGCACCCGTTCTCCAAAACCGCTTGTCAGATTAACTTAGGGTTTCACAATATGTTAGACTAACATGTCTAGTGGTTCAATCAGGGTTTTGTTTGTGCAATGAGGTTTATAAAGGGGTACTTTGAGGGGCAAAAAGAAAAGAGGGTTTTACTATAGAACCCTATGGGATTTTATTTTTTTAAATTTTCAAATGATTATAAATTGAAAACCGTTTGTAATAGACACAATCTTTTTAATTGAAAATGTTCTAAATGATAAAACCCATTAAATGAAATACAGGGTTAGTCCCCAGGGGTCAACCCCACCCCCTGCCATTTGAGAAAGTTCTAATATCTTGTAAATGGTCGAGATCCCCACCCCTAAACCATATATATTCTGGTTTGTCATGCTAAGGTGGTTTGAATGATATACAGGGTTAGTCCCCAGGGGTCATCCCGACCCCCTGCCATTTGAGAAAGTTGTAATATCTTGTAAATGGTCGAGATCCCCACCCCTAAACCATATATATTTTGGTTTGTCATGATAAAGCACATGAAATGAAATACAGGGTTAGTCCCCAGGGGTCACCCCCACCCCATGCCATTTAAAAAAGTTCTTATATCTTGTAAGTGGTCAAGATCCCCACCCCTAAACCATATATATTCTGGTTTGTCATGCTAAGATGGTTTGAATGATATACAGGGTTAGTCCCCAGGGGTCATACCAACCCCCTGCCATTTGAGAAAGTTGTAATATCTTGTAAATGGTCGAGATCCCCACCCCTAAACCATATATATTCTGGTTTGTCATGATAAAGCAAATCAAATGAAATACAGGGTTAGTCCCCAGGGGTCATCCCCACCCTATGCCATTTAAGAAAGTTCTAATATCTTGTAAGTGGTCAAGATCCCCACCCCTAAACCATATATATTCTGGTTTGTCATGCTAAGATGGTTTGAATGATATACAGGGTTAGTCCCCAGGGGTCATCCCGACCCCCTGCCATTTGAGAAAGTTGTAATATCTTGTAAATGGTCGAGATCCCCACCCCTAAACCATATATATTCTGGTTTGTCATGCTAAGATGGTTTGAATGATATACAGAGTTAGTCCCCAGGGGTCATCCCGACCCCCTGCCATTTGAGAAAGTTGTAATATCTTGTAAATGGTTGAGATCCCCACCCCTAAACCATATAAATTCTGGTTTGTCATGATAAAGCACATAAAATGAAATACAGGGTTAGTCCCCAGGGGTCACCCCCACCCCATGCCATTTAAGAAAGTTCTAATATCTTGTAAGTGGTCAAGATCCCCACCCCTAAACCATATATATTCTGGTTTGTCATGCTAAGATGGTTTGAATGATATACAGGGTTAGTCCCCAGGGGTCATACCAACCCCCTGCCATTTGAGAAAGTTGTAATATCTTGTAAATGGTCGAGATCCCCACCCCTAAACCATATATATTCTTGTTTGTCATGATAAAGCAAATCAAATGAAATACAGGGTTAGTCCCCAGGGGTCATCCCCACCCTATGCCATTTAAGAAAGTTCTAATATCTTGTAAGTGGTCAAGATCCCCACCCCTAAACCATATATATTCTGGTTTGTCATGCTAAGATGGTTTGAATGATATACAGGGTTAGTCCCCAGGGATCATCCCGACCCCCTGCCATTTGAGAAAGTTGTAATATCTTGTAAATGGTCGAGATCCCCACCCCTAAACCATATATATTCTGGTTTGTCATGCCAATATGATTTGAATGATATACAAGGTTAGTCCCCAGGGATCACTAATGCATATAACTTTACTGGACCAAACCAATTTTCACTAGACTTTGCCCAATGTCAGGCGACCATGGGAATTACAAATTATGGGAGCTTCGTTTGGGAGACTTCGTAACAGCATCCTGTTACAATCATTTCTTGTTGTATTGTACTTTTTCTCTATAGCTTTCAAGTAGACAGGTGATGGCACTTAATGTGAAATTTGTTAGCATAAAAGATATAATATTGAAGTTAAATATAATATATCAATGTAAGGAGTATGTGATCTTTTTCAAATCTGCATCAGGCTGAATTTCACAATGTATAGAAATTAGAACATACACATAAAATTAAAATAAGCCTTTGTAATATTATTCATATATGAAGGAGAAAACCCTGTGTTTTTATTTGTACAAAATGGAAAAACTGCATATGACTCAGTTTACTTTCAGTTCAGAAAATAATAACCATTTGTTGCTAGTGTACAGATAAAATAAAAAGCTTCAGAATAAATAAACTTAATACCATTTAAGCAAATTCTTTTATTAAGCTTGAAGCTTGCTTAAAGTTATCTTTATACTTTATTAATGCTACTATAATGTGTCTAGTATCTTTATGTATTACAACATTTCTCTCAGCTTTTATAATCAAAGAACTTTTAGCAGCCAAATAATTAATATTCATTTTTAAATATATATATATATGTTTGAAAGCAAAGAGAATGAGAACAATTCTTTAAAGTCTTATTTAAGTTACTGGAAGCTTTATATGTTTTACATACTGTGGATTCATTATTTTTGTGGGATACCAGTTTTCGTGGATTTCATGGATTAATGTTTACCACGAATTTAAATGTTCAACAACATACAAATTATCTATAGGCTTGTATGTAGACTCTGATAAAACCATGAAATCAAATATCCACGAAAGCACTTTTTCTCCTCAATCCAAGAAAATTGGTATCCACTAAAATTAAGGAATTCACAGTACATAATGCTTAATATGATTGTGTTATATGAATAAAAAGAGATGTTAGGTATACCTTAAAGACAGAAAAAAAACCCACAAAATATGCAGACATTTAGTTTTTTTAAAACAAACAAATTTAATGGTTTATATATGTACCACAATAATTATGCAATGTTCTCCCTAGAAAGAGGTAGAACCAACTACCCCAGTATTTATTTCACACCAGGATCATTTAAATAAGTATTTCAATCTTAAATGAGATTAACAGTGTCACAGCTTCCTGTGTGTTGTTTGGGTTTCTCACCATATTATGGAATATTTTATAACGAGTTTAGCAAAGTAGAAATGAATGAAGACATGGTAGCCCAAAACAGCAGTTTTTGACAGAATTTGGCAAAATTTGATTATTTATAATAAAAAATGTTCAAGTAGGGCATTCTTCACCAAAACCAAAATTCTGTTACAAGTTAAGCTCTCAGTGTTTTAAAACAAAATGAATATATTTTGTTCAGAAAAATCAAAATTTTTCTCCAAAAAACATGTAAAATTTGCAATTTTGTACCAACATTCCTCCAAGAGCAACATGCTTTGCTGACATGTTGCTGAATAACATTTTATGCGATGAAAGTCGCAGAAAGCGGGACATAGGGATTGCTTTTCTGGCCATGACGATGATGGCTCTGGCTCAGGCTCAGGCGTCAACAATTGTTAAGTTTTCTGCTTAAGTTAGTTTGATAGGAGCCACTTGTGATAGATCATTGATATTTAATAGAAAGTTGCATTACTATCAGTACATATCAGTTTGACGTCTATTTGAGGGCCTGCCCCCTAGGACATGGTCCAGTGACTTTGAATTATTTAGCAATGTTCAATGTTAAGTTTTCTGCTTATGTTAGTTTGATAGGATCTGCTTGTGATAGATCAATGAAATTTTGTAGGAAGTCGCATTACTATCAGTACATATCAGTTTGATGACTATTTCGAGGCCCTGTCCCCTAGGACATGGTCCATTGACTTTGAATTAATTAGCAATTTTCAATGTTAAGTATTCTGCTTTATTTGGTTTGATAGGATCTACTTGTGATAGATCAATGATGTTTTGTATGCAGTTGCATTACTATCAGTTCATATCAGTTTGACGACTATATCGAGACCCTGCCCACTTTGTCATGGTCCATTGACTTCGAACTAATTAGCAATTGTCAATGTTAAGTTTTTCTGCTTAAGTTATATAGAAAGGAACTACTTACAATAAACAACGATATTTTCTATAAAGTTACATTACTGTCTGTACACCTCAGTGTGTCAACCATTTTCAGGCCCTGCCCACTAGATCATGGTCTAGTGACTGAATTAATAAGCAATGTCACTGCCATCAGTTTGTCTTTTTCTGAATTTTATGCTGATAGGCCAGACATATCTCTGTGTCAACAGTTTATGTTATGTTTAATTGTGGTGTTGTAAGAGTTCCATGTTTTTTGTTCTTTTGGTCAATTTGTAATTGGGCAGTTTTTTCATATTTTAAAGAAGTTAAAGTATGCATTTAGAACTTGTTGAACTTGTGTATGTAGCAGTATTTATACATGTATCCAAAGATGCAACTTATATTTTATAACAGACATGGAAATTTCATAAAAATTTCAATTGTTTCAATCTTTTTCAGCCATCACACAATGAACCTTATATTTTCAGGTACCAGGTGATTGGTATAGACTCTTTAGATTGCTATTTTCAGTAATTGTAATGTCAGTCAGGGGATTTACATGTGCAATACCAAATCAGATTCAATCTTTCTTGTTGAAATAAGAAATAACATGAGTTATCTCCCTTTACTCTTGGTTAATTTTCTTACTTTTTAAGTATTTAAGAAATCTTTGGACAATAATTTCTATTTGAGTAACCTTCTCTTTTGAAAAGTAAATCTTATTTGTAGAAATGTTACCTATATAAGTAAGAATGGAAGCTTCACCTGGTTCATGATGCTGTCAAGTATTAAAAGTATTAAAGCAGTAAATCCAAAAGATCAATATAAACCTTTTTTACCTATACAAGTAAATTTGATCTTTATTGCACAGATAAGGGTGAATCTGATTCAAATAGGTAATTTGAAAATTATTTGAGCAAGTAATATTGATTTTGACTAGAAAATGTTCATAACAGAGCAACCGAAAAACACATTGAAGAATATACATATACCTGGTATATATTACTTATGCATCAAAACAAACACTATCATGTGTTACTTAAAAAACCTACCTCTTAAGCTCCATTTGTGTATTAATGCTAAATATTTTACTTTTAAAGTGGCATCTAGGATTTTTCCGTAAGGAATATACTCCCTTGTATAGAGGATTTGAATCTCATTATGGATATTACCTCGGATGTGGTGATTACTATGATCACAGCTCAGAAGCAACGCCTGTAAGTATATTGTATAAACCTCCATAGAATGACATGGAACAAATAGTAGTACACTTCTGTTCATCTCATTGCATGTTTTCAGATGTGTAGCTCTTATATTTAGAACATTGTTTGCTCATAATGTCATGTTATCTTAATTCATGGTTCCAGAATCTAATGAATTATGGAATTTTTTTTCAAAAGGATAGATCACACTGTTATGACAACATTTTAAACACTGGATATTGACCAATGGGGTAACATTTCTATTTGTTTTGGTCACAGGGGCTTGGGACTTCTTTTCTATTCCTCTTTTGTTTTGGGGTGTTTAATTTTTGTTAGTAAAATTTTTTAATCTGTTAACTTATTTTCACTTATTTAATGTGTTCTTGCTCCTATCCATATGATATGCTGCCCCTTTATTCCTATTTTCCACAAGGCAGGAAAGATCTAAAAGTTTAATATTATACATCTGCTCTCCTAGGCCTCCAACAGATATTTTACACCATATTTTCATTAAAACATACAAATAAAAACTTTTATGAGCTCCAAAAAAATTTATCTTTTTGTTTCTGTTAGTGGTTTTGTATGTATAATCACTCAGAAATTTAAGATTTTTACTCCTTGGTGGCTTTAATTTTATCAAATCCATTAATGATGACAAAAATAGACGTCAAATTCACACACTGTATGACTCCAATGCAATGTATGAAATTATGAAGTTGGATAAGTTCGAAAGTTTTCTCATTTGTTTACAGGCTACAAAATAATAAAAAAAAAAAAATACAGGAACCTTGTGTACTTATTGAACCTTATGACTTCATGCATTTGTTGTATGCAGTTCTGATTTAACTAATGTTAAGTTTTACTCTGCTTTAATTTGTAGGAATATTTTGGATATGATTTCTGGAGAAACAATACAGTAGATTATACCTCAATAGGACAATACTCAACAGAAATATTTACTAAAGAAGCTGTTAACATAATCAACAATCACAATCCATCACAGGTATTTGAAGATCAATTGAATATGAGTTTGTTGATACACCAGAAAAATTATTTATCACAGCATGATATAGAAAGCAATATATCTGATTTTCCCAATCATGTCATATGTGCCATGTTTCCCTGGTTTACTCTACAACTGGTACCCTTTTTAGTTCACCTGGCTTAAAAGGCCAAGTGAGCTTTTGCCATCACTTGGCATCTGTTGTTCATCTTCTGTTGTCTGTCCGGCCATCATCATTAACTTTTTAGAAAATATTCTGCAATGAAACTAACCAAACTTCACCTAAATGTTCCTCAGGGTTTCTAGTTTAAAAATTTTATTCAGAGATTTGATCCATCAACAAATATGGCAGTTGTTGCTAAAAATAGAACTTAGAGTAGGTGATGGTCTATATCACCAGTGAAATTTTCAGAAAAATAGTACAATCCAACTTGGAGTTGTTGTCTCTAAAATGTCAGTGTTTAGTAAGTTTGGAAGTTTTTGGCTTATGTATCAAAAACCAAAGCAGTTACACCAAACTTTACTGTTGTGAATTGATCAGCAGGTCTATCTCCTGTGAAATTTTCAGAAAAATCGAACTTCTTATTTTGGAGTTATTCCCCTTAAATGTCATTTTCAGTTTTTACCTGTGTCTTTCAAGGTTGGAAGCAGGTCTAGTAACTGCTCTACTGCATCCTTCTGTCTTTCCTTCTGTCTATCCGTCCATCCATATGATTGTTTGAAATTTGACAACACTCATTGTACAAGGAATATTTAGTCAAATATTTCTTGTGAAAAAAAAGTGTTCAGCAAAATAAATCAACAAAGAATTAACTTAACCGAATTGTCAGTTGACGGCTTATAGGAGTTATTGCCCTTGAAAGATGGTTTTATCCATTTTTATGCCCCCGCCGTAGCGGAGGGGGCATTAAGTTTTATCCTTGTCTGTCTGTACGTACGTACGTACATCCATACGTCCCAAAATTGGTTTCCGTTCTCTAACTTGAGTTTGCCTAAACCAAATGTTATGAAACTTATACACAATGCTTATTACCACAAAATACAGATCAACTTTGAATTTTGGTGGCGTCACTTTAACTGTTCTAGAGTTATGCCCCTTCATTAATGGAAAAATTCCAAAATTTTTAGTTTCCGTTCTCTAACTAAAGTTTGCCTCAACCAAATGTTATGAAACTTATACACAATGCTTATTACCACTAAATACAGATCAAGTTTGAATTTTGGTAGCGTCACTCTAACCATTCTAGAGTTATGCCCCCCAATAAATGAAAAAATTACAAAACGTTTAGTTTCCGTTCTCTAACTTAAGTTTGCCTCTACCAAATATAATGAAACTTATACACAATGCTTATTACGACAAAACACAGATCAAGTTTGAATTTTGGTGGGGTCACTTTAACCATTCGCGAGTTATGCCCTTTATAAATGGAAAAAAAAATGCAAAATTTTTAGTTTCCATTTTCTAACTTAAGTTGCCTCAACCAAATGTTATGAAACTTATACACAATGCTCATTACCACAAAACACAGATCAAGTTGAATTCTGGTGGCGTCATTTTAACCATTATCGAGTTATGCCCCTTTATATATTGAAATATTGCAAAATTTTTAGTTTCCGTTCTGTAACTTAAGTTTGCCCCAACCAAACATTATGAAACCAATACACAATACTAATTACCACAAAACTCAGATCTAGTACAAGTTTGGGTAGCGTCACTTTTATTGTTTTTGAGTTATGCACTTTATAATGTTGTATGCAAACAGGGGCATCATCTGTGTCCATAGGGACACATTTTCCATTTATTTTCATTTTTTGCAGAAATCATTTCAGATAAAAAGAAGTTGTAAATAGCAAAGATGTCAAGCACAATAAGTTCTACAAATAAGTCAACATGGCCAAAATGGATATGACTCCTATCAGAATTTATAGCACTTGAAAGATGATTTTTTTTCCAATTTTGCAGTTTTTGAACAAACCATTTAAATAGATAGTGAGAAACTTAAAAAAAGCTAAACAATTCAGCACAATAAGATCTACAAGTAAGTCAACATTGCTGATGTGTCACACTTCTTATAAGAGATATTACCATTAAGTGATGTTTTTTTTTATCTCAAAAACTTCAATTGATAGGTATAAACTGTAAACAGTAAAAATTATCATCTTTACAAGGCCTATAAAAAATGACACTATATAAGATCTAGCATAACTGAATGCAATGAAGGAAAAAATAAATATCTAAATGGCATATTTTTACCAGGTGAACGAATCAGGCTCTTGGGAGACTCGTGTATCACATTAAAAGCATCATACATGATATTTTATATGAAATTTCATGAATGTAGTCACTGTACATTGTATTTTTTAATTGAAAGAAACTAAAGGCTAATTATGTAAGTGCAGACAAAATTTGTCCATAATGCATTTTGTTCAGATATCATTAGTATTTATATTTGATTCAAATGCAGCTGCATATCAGTTAAACAAATCTTTTTGAAATGTAGGTATTTCTTGAAATATTTTTAAGTGTAAAATCTCTTCAAAGATACTAAGCTAATAATTTGATATGCCAGATGCACATTTCGTTTACGTAAGACCAATCAGTGGTGCTCGAACCAAAACAGTTGAAAGAATTTAAATACGAAGTTGAAGAGCATTAAAACCCCAAATTTTGCTACGACTATCAATCCAATGAAGTTTTATAAACTACACATACCTAACATCAAGTATAAAAATCTAAAAATAACAGAACTGAATGTTTTTTCTAGCCTCTGTTCTTGTATTTACCTTACCAAGCAGTGCACAGTGGTAACCTTCCAGATGGAAACCCACTACAAGCTCCAAAGAAATATATCAAAAGGTTTCCTAATATCAAGAACATAAAACGGAGGACATATGCAGGTATGATATGTATTCAAGGCTTCTTAGTGTTAAAAAGTTCTATAGTTAATTATAAAAAAATTAACAAAGGAGGAGATATGATAAAAGAGGAAATCATCAAATGTATGAGTCACAAATAAGTAGTTGTTTTTATTTCTTTTTTAGAGCAAGCTCTTGATTAGTATTTCTTAATTTTATAACGACTTATACAACATATAGGAATGGTATCTGCCTTGGATGATGCTGTAGGGACTGTTGTTGATGCTCTGAAGATACAAGGTCTCTATGACAATTCTGTAATCCTATTTACAACAGACAATGGAGGACCAGCCAATGGATTTGATGGAAATGCAGCAAATAATTTTCCACTCAGGTTGGTCAGATTAACTTATTTTCATTTGACCGAATTGATAATCCATTTTAAAAACACAAAATAAAGAAGTCTCTCGATGTCATTTGTGATATCATTTATAGAATGTCTCAATGATAGCCCATCTGTGTGATTAGCATTTGTTTACAAAATGAGATGTGGTATGATTGCCAATGAGACAATTCTCAACCAGAGATCTAATGACATAGAAGTTAGGAAATATAGGTCACAATATGGCATTTAACAATGAGCAAAACCCATACCTCATTGCAAGCTAAAAAAGGGTTGACATGACAAATGTAAAACAATTTAATCGAAAAAACTAAAGGCCTGATGTTCAATCCCTGAGAAAACCAGATGCTTTTTTATTAGGTACACTATTATGAAAGATTATGTATTATGGTAGAGGTGTTTTTTTTTATATATAAAAGCCAACTTTTTTTCAAAGAAACAACAACCTTTCTTCTGCAATGGTCTAAAAAATATAAATCAGTTGATCAGTTTGAAGAAATGAATTCACTTAAAGAAGTGATTTGACTGGTTGGTACATGTATTCTGAAAGGATAAATCCCTTTTGGTTAAGATCAGTAATAACTGAGGGAAGATTCCTGGAAAAGTAAATTTTCTGTATGTTTGATACTTTAATAAATATCTTAAAAAAATAAAGAAGAGTGTGAATTATAGATTAACTTTCATACAGGGGTAATTTCGACTTGCCTAATTTTTTTAGCACAAAGCATGTTTTAAGTTTTAAATCCATAGTTATACCCTAATGACTAAGCTTGAGGGCTGTATTGGGAGTATTTATACACAGCCCCATACGATCTGAGATCTTTCATAGATAATTGGAATTTAAATATGGCTGTCATACAAATGGACACAATGTAAAATAAGGTTCAACCAATCGCTTTCAATTTAATAAGTTTTGCCTTTAATAATTGGTTTATGCATTTACAGTTTTGAAGTTTGTGTTTGCTAATTATGCTGTATGATGACAGATCTGCTTTTCTGTTATCTGCTCCAAATGATGAATCAAATTTGAACCACTGTATGTTGTCTACTTAGGTATCCTTTATTTTGTTTCTGTATGTTCTGTGTCACAATTGAATTTAATGTAAGATTATTTAAAGTAAGAGTCACATAAGGGCATTCTTATATCTATATTTACAACTTCACCAAACTACTAGAAATGAATTTTTACTGAAATTATATAATCATTCTTCTGCATGTTCAATTTAGTTTGGCAACATATGAATATGTGATGTCTACATCTAACATCACAGTACCCAAATTGCACCAGGTAACCAAATTACACCTATTGAGCAAAAATAGCAACAGAAATCTTACAAGTTTTCTTTGAGACTTAACAATTTGTACTTTTATGATTTGACATAATACATGTCTTTCGACATAGGTAAATATATTTAAATATACACAAAACGTTCACAGTATATATCAATAGATGAAGTATTTACTGGAAAAAGTAAAATCTACGGAAACGTCGCCATGCGACTTCCACAAAAGGTCATCTTTTAAAAATGAGCAAATAAAATATGTTACAAGTATCCTTTTCTTAAAAAATGAATAGTAAGCATGGACTAATGTCAAATTGTTCTAAATATTTGAAGAAATAAAACTAAACATCTGTTATTCAATTTTTAGGGATGTTGATTTAAGCATGGATGCAATTTGTGTACTCCTCATTACAGAATCATTGATTATTTGGAGGTCGGTTTAAACCTTTTTTTCTATGATTCAATATGGATTAAAAATTAAATTGGTGTATCTATATAGTAAATAAGGAAACATCTACAAAATTAACACAGAATGGAAACTTTTGTGTGGATCATAAATAAACGTAGGTGAAAAAACTGTCAAAATAGGTGCAATTTAGGTACCCCCACATTAGCTATAGAGTTCGTAAAACTTGATACATCTAAAAATGTTTGGAACAGAGTTTATAGTGAACCACAGACCAACCTGGATCTAATTCATTAAGTTCAGTATTTTTTTTTTATTTCAGGGGAGTGAAGGCCACATTGTGGGAAGGTGGAGTTAGAGGAACAGGTTTTCTGCATTCACCAATCTTACAGAAGCAAGGATATATTGCAGAACAGATGATTCATGTTTGTGATTGGTTACCAACATTATATAGAGCTGCTGGTGGTAACCCTAAACAAATGAAAGATCTGGATGGATATGACCTTTGGGATATGTTATCGAACAATGGAAAGAGTATAAGAACAGGAATGTTACATAATATTGACCCTTATGAACCTAAAGGGGCACTAAGACAGGGAGATTATAAACTTTTATATGGAAAAATTAGTAAGACTTGGGGTGGCTGGTATCCACCATGGCAGGTGGATACAGATAGTGAAACATATCATTATGATAAAATGGACTCATATAATATTGATGAAGTTATAAAATATTTTTCAGTGTCAAACCGAAATTCAAAGGAATTTTCCATGTTTTCTCCATTAAAGATTGACTGTGGTCCTGTACCAGCAAATGCCAGCACAAACTGTGATCCAGAAATGAAACCATGTTTATATCACATTCCGTCTGATCCTTGTGAATTTCATAATATTGCAGACCAGCATCCTGACATTGTACTAAATATGATGAATGTCCTCTCTCATTATAACTCTACTATGGTGCCTCCACTTAACAAACGCCAAGACCCTGCAGGGAACCCTAGGAATAATAATGGAGCTTGGGTTCCATGGATGAAGTAATTGATGATTGTTTAAGCCTTATTATCAATACAATCTGTTATTATCATCTGGTATCTGTCATTGTTATAAATGTTAAATTTTGTCTCTTCATGAATGTAGTTGTAGATATTTGCTTTCAATTCTGTCCGTCTATACTTTCAAAATTGGACAATTCTTTGTTACATCTATTCTCATACACCCATTGTGATATGTCAGTAATAGTTTACCAATGACAACATATATCCAAAATTTTATCAAGAATTGCTTGATTTGTCATGAATACATATGATTATATTTTTGGTGTTTTTTTTTTCTTCAAATTTCCATTCAAATAAGGTTACTAAGTACATGTATGCATTAACGTGCAAATTCTCCAAATAACAAAAACAGTAAGATATGACACAAAACAACATCTGACAATGTCCTTGACTTGGTTGGGTAAACTATTTTTGACAAATGATGTTAATCTGGCAGCAGCTGCAAAAACTATTTGTATGTGGCTTCATATTTCAAAAGGTAGAAGACATGGAAGTGTCATAACTTGTAAAGACACCTTAGAAAACTTATGTCTGTTATATGTCCATTGTCCTTGACTTAATTTTCACGGTTCAATGACTGCTTTTAAAAACCATATTTTTTGTCATATGAATTTCTCACTGAGTATAAGGATAATTATATTTGGTATATGGGATCCTTGCAAGGTCTTCACGTCCATCAGGCAGGGTACACTAGACCCCAACCTATTTCATGGATCAGTGATCTAGGTTAAAATAATGTGATTAGGTCCATTTTTCAGATACTGAAAGTATTAGGTCAAGTATAGCTGGTGTATGGAATGATTGTAAGGTATTACATGTTTATCTAGCAGGTATCATCTGACCTTGACCTTGTTTCCAATGTTCATTGGTCAATGTTAAGTTTCATAGTTTGGTCTTTTTCTCAGATACTATAAGCGATAGTTCAACTGTATTTGGTGTATGAAATTAGTGTAAGGTGTACATATCTGGCAGGATTCATTTAACCTTGACATAATTTTTATGGATCATTGGTCAATGATAAATTTTTCTGGTTACCTCTGTTTCTCAGATACTTTAAAAAATAGGTCAACTATATTAGGTGCACAGAATGAGTACAAGGCATACAAGCTAGCAAAACAACCAAAAGACATCTAGAGGATAATTTGCAATGTTTTGTCCATTTCCCCAGGCACCTGTTTACTGTTTTCTTTCATCTGACAATCTTGGTGTTTTGTAGAACATATGATTTTGGTGTCCTTTCTATTTATTTGTTTGCCAACAAATAAGTAAGACTTTTGAAGATCAGCAAGTCATGGGTGTTTCCTACAAATTGTGCAAAAATTTAATTTATTTGTAGGAGTTTCTTCACTGAATTGCCACAACTTCTGGAATTCTTGCTTCCGGTTTTTTCCATATTCCTTGTCTTTCTCCACTTTCATTTTCTGTATTTTATTCGACATGTCATTATTATTTTCATTCTTTTTGTCTTGATTACCCGGTCTAGATGTTTTTATAAGGTATTTATCCATCTCAATAGAACCCAATCATGAAAAATTAAAATAACACTTCCTTTAGATGCCAAGTAAAACTTAATTGACATAAAAAAATACATCTTAATAAATTATGGAAATATTTCTAAATTTTTGTTTGAATAAAATTTTGTCAACTGTAATTTTTTACTTGTCCACAGGCAATCCAGACAAAAAAGTTACTTCTCCGGTTGTTCAAATGTACGAGTTGGGCAAATTGGGCATAGCATTTCCACACCCCTGCATGACCTCATTTACGTCAATTGTTGAAATTGTTAATTTATTTGATACTTGTAGCAAAACCTTGATCTTAAAAGACTTTCAACATAACATCAATCAATAGTAAAGCAGGCTAGCCATTTCTGCATGTCCTTTCTGGTTAGAGATCTCAACCCATCACCCTTTTAATATTAGTCTACTGAGTAACAAAAAATAAAATAACAAAAATACTTAACTTCAAGAAAAATTCAAAACGGAAAGTCCTTTATCAAATGGCAAAATCAAAAGGATGAAATTTGAAAAAAAGGCAGGACAGGAGTTTTGAGTAAAAAAAAAAGGCAGGATGAGCAACTTGGCAAAAAAAAAAAAAAGGCAGGATGACAATTTATGTAAAAAAAGTCAGGATAAACTAATAAAAAATAAGGGAGGACCGAATAGAGTGAAAAAAAAGGCAGGACAACGATTACAACTAAAAAAAAATGCAGGACAAAATTTTTCATCCTAGCCCCCCCATAAAAATGAAATAGTAGCTCCCTTAGAATGTAATTTCCTGTGTCATATATTAGCTTACTTTATACTGATTCCAAAAAAATTTTTTGTTTGTATACTTTTGCTTGAAAAAAGGGAGACAAGTTGCTACTTCCTGTTGGAAAAATGTCAGTTCCAGTTTCTTATGATAGATTCACACTGATTCCAAAACATATATGGTTCTAGGTACTTTAAATTGAGATTAGTGCATCAAATGGCTACTTTGGGTTAACAAAAGGTCACTCATGGATGAACTTTTCAAAGTCATATGTCTTTGGATATAATACAAAAAACCTTATGGCTTTATTATGTATAAATATGATATTTAAACAAAGGTCTAAATCTAAAGAACATTATTTTTACCTGAGACCTTGACCACAAATTTAAGGTCTTAAAGCTTGGGCCTCAAATCAAAAGACCCTAGGTGTCTACTGTGTATGATAAATGAGTTATATCACCTTTAATCTTATTTTAAACTTTCCAAGGGGGAAAACTCTTATTAAACGACACTGTAACCTTTTAACCAGAATGTTTTCAGTTACAACTAACTACATTTTTATTTAGTACAATCTATTGTGGATATATAATATAGTTTCTAAGGACTAGCATACACAAGCAAATGTAACAAATTAAAACATGACTGACCTTTGACCTCATTTTTTTGTGGACCTAGGACCTCAAATCCTAGGTCTCTATCACTTATGGTTCATGAGTAACTATTACATATCACATATGTATAATACTTAAAAAGAAATAACTCTCATATGGAGTCTTTAGATCTCTTTGGTCAAAATTAATCTTGACATCTTGAGGATATAACGCGCAATTTGGGAAAATAATTTTGTGATAACTTTTTGGTTGCAAAGGAGTAGTGGGCACAAGAAAACTAGTGTTAGGGGAGATAATTACAACAAAGGAAAGTGTTCGATTAAGTGGTGTCAGTTTCAAAAGCGTTTAAACAGGTTGATATCTTATACCATATATCTAAAATATATCCATTGCTTTCCCCCAATTTTTAGCAGTATGAAAACTATAGGAGCTAGGTTTAAAGTGTAAACTGCAAAAATGATCAGCATGGCAAGATCTGTCTAATCTGATTGAAAGTTTCAGGACCTTTTTTTGAGGCATTGCCCATAAAAAAATGATTTTTACTGTTTTGGCTGTCATCTAAAAAAACTATAGGAGCTGGGTTAAACATGCCAAATGCAAAACTGATCAGCAACACAAAATGGTCATATAAAAGTCCGATTAAGCAAAGTGGCGATTTTTTTATAATATGAGAGCTACAGGCACAGATGTGCCTCTTGTTTAGTTGGATACAGAAAGTATTGGTACCGTATCCACTCATTAAAATGAGTAATATAAAGCAAATAAAAGTACCAGATAGTTATTAACTCTTTTAAACAATACATGCATATTACTAGATTAAGATTTCACAGTATCTCTCAATAAAGGACAATATATTTATAGAGAGATAAAAAAAAAATTCCAGAAATTGTTGTTATTTTGCAACAGCATATCTTCACAGAGGAAATATCACACACTTAAGCATCCAAAGTTGCTGATATGGAAGTTTTTCTTTTGTAGAATTTATGCAAACACAAGTTATTATGAATGCATATAGGTCAATATAAGCAAAAGCAAAAGAAAAAAAACTTTGAAATTGTTACGTTATAATATGACATAATAATGTGGTGATGTGGATTAGAGAAAAAATCTTATTACTTAGTACATATAAAAATAAGGAGATGTGGTATGATTGCCAATGAGACAACTATCCACCCAAGTTCAAATGAAGTGGATGTAAGCAATTATAGGCAACCGTACGGCCTTCAACAATGAGAAAAACCCATACAGTATAGTCGGCTATAAAAGGCCCCGACATGAAAAATATGAAACAATTCAAATGAGAAAACTAACTGCCTAATTTATAACAAAACAATTTACGAAAAATAAATATGACAGACACGAACCAACGACAACTACTGAACTACAGGCTCCTGGCTTGGGACAGGCACACAACGAATGTGGCGGGGTTAAACATGTTGGACGTTTGATGTTTTGATAAACAGAAATTAGTGTTTTTATAAACAGATGTTAATATGATTCATAGCTCTGCCAAAGCCTTTTGTTAGAACTTTTTTATATTTTCTACTATTAATATTTTCAAACTGCACATTGATGAAAACTAACTCATAAGTTTTATGGATATTTACCTGAAGTTAATTAGCATTATGTTTTGACAATCTGAATGAACCTCTAATCTGATGAATCCCTTGTTTATTCAACTATTCCTACATGGATTTTTTACAAATGACATACAAGATTTTAGGAGGAATAAACCATTTCATTGAATTATACCATGCATAATCAGATGGCAATTAGAATTCAATCAATTGACAATTTTGTAAATAGTTGATTATTTTGAAATTTATCAACAGAATTGGGAGAACAAACTTAATCTTAATAGTGTAATTAGCGCCGCTAAAATTCATAATGCCAATTTTTTTTTTTTATAGAAAAAAGCATTTTTTTTTACAGAAAAACATTTTTTTATAGAAAAAACATTTATTTATAGAAAATCATTTTTTTTTTATAGAAAAACTCTTTTTTACAATAAATTGTTTTTAATAAAAGATTTTTATAAAATAAAAGTTTAGTATTTCAAAGGTCTCCAAATATAAAAAAAAGTCTACCAAATAACAAAAAAAGTTATGATCATGAAAGAAATCCGGCCAATCGTCCTATCATTAGTGTAGCCCGAATTATAAAAAAAATAATATAATTCTGAATTAATAGTTTAGCATACTTGCAAATTTTAATGGGCATGTTTTTAATCGACTTTCCTGTACGAGTAACCAACTGCAATTATCTTCTCATTTACATGTTCTTTTATCCATACGAAACAGACTTCATAGAACCAGTTATAACCTTACCGTGTATCTTGGCAAATCCCCTGTTAAAATGTATAAAGTAACATTACATAATTTTAAGCTTTCATAT